TCACCCATTATTCTGGCACAAGCTCTTAACTTCGGTGTATATGTCCTAGCTGAGATAAACTTAGACCATGAACGTGTTCTTAACTTCACCATCAGTTTGATGTGTTCTTCTACTTGATTTGTTATTTGGTAGTTTTTATGAAATGGTTTAACTAAATTACAAATTAATCACAAAAATGTAAATTTGAAGATAGTTTGAAACAATATATTGAACTGGCTGACATATTCATACGTGGTTCAAAATTCTGCCGCAAAATTTAGCATTGGAAATTCCTGGTTGAGAGTGACGTTGTTTTGAAGATCATTATCCCCATATACTGATCAATATTTTGTACAAAATGATAAAAATTCAAACTTGAGAATTGTTTAGAATTGTCCTCTAACAGCCATTACCACCGCAATCAATTTTTTGACCGCTCCAGCGGAAAAACGATCTACCTAGTATACATTGTTTAATTATCAAAAATGTGCTCTACAAAAACAGCGATGCCTACATTTTTGGTTCAAGTATGAATGAAAATTGGGTATATTAATTTAAGTTCTCAGTACACCTTAATTGACCACCTCTCGTTAGTGCGTTTTCAAAGTAAACATCAGTGAAGCATAAATTTCCCGAAAGCCTAATAAATGAGGACTTCGTTTATCCTCTGTTTCTCTGAAGCCAAAAAGCTAAACGCTGGGAATTTGTTTAAAAGGTTAGACCAAAACATGTCCCAGCCAGTGATTAAGAGAAAGAAAATTCTTATATCCGAGAGAAATTGAGGTGTATTGATACCTTAATGGAAGTTTTTCTTTAATAGCCGCCGAAAACGTCTAACAACCAACTGGCACTGGTTTGACCTTCCCGTGATTAATGCTAAAAGCTGAACTGAATTGCATGGTAATTTAAATTTTGCCCTCCTTATCACAAATGATGACTACCCGAGATGCTGAAAATATTACAACCAAGTTTGTCTCTTCTCTCTTCGAAGAAAGCAAATATTCTTGAAGATACTGAGATACTCATAAATATTCCAAACAAGTTTCTCTCTTCTCTATTCGAAGAAAGAAAACATTCTTGAAGGCAAATTAATGCTTGTGCATTCGTTTTATACATATTCTTCAAAGCCGCTAACCCTAATTATCATGCGATTCTCAGTTCTATAAAATTCGCATTCTGTAAACGCCTGACGTTCTTCTTTAAATAAAATTGTCATAGCACAAACAAAAAGAAAGAAAATATAACCCACCTTGCTTCGCTTGAGCTCGAGTGATATATTGAACTGACAATAGAATCTTTTGTTAACGATCTACTAGCTAGAACCCAGGTAAGACCGCGCTAACCGGAAGCTTATGAGTAGCCGATATGACAATATTTTTTGTCTGCGATTAATCTTGTCTTACTATGAATAAAAAAGATATATACAGGGGACCTTGGGAATCATTATTTTTCTTTGTGGCGGTATGGCTTATCTAGCTTTGTGTGGTGTGGCATTCACATTTTCTTCTTAGCATGGGTCGCACTAGAGGGGATTCTGTTTGTTTTACCAAAAATTGGGTCAAAATTGGAGCTTTTCCTAATGCGACCACTACAAGCAAAATTTGGAAAATTTGTCAGTGGACCAAAAAGATCAAAGACGCTGTAGTGTATGGGTGGGGCAGGCAGATTTTTCCAAAATCGCCCAAAGAAAACAGAAATTCATTAAACATGTCAACTGCGTGTTTATTTACATGCAAGGAAATTGATGGGCAGTATGCCTGCACGAGAAAGCATCTTTACAAAAGCGTTTTATCAGTGTTGACACAATTTAGCCTTGTCGTGTGGCATCATGTGCGACCGGAAAACGAACCCAAAAAAAATTGGTCAGTGCCGATAATTTTAGATCTTTCGGACCGCCCAAAAAAAAAAATTCGTTCTAGTGCGACCCATGCCTAAGACAGCAAATGTTTTTTTGGAAAGGAAAGAGATTATAATAAGTGTGAACCTTGTGTGAACAATAGTGAAATATTAATTAAGTTTTCATTAAAGCAATCCATGTCACGATTTTCCATGCTACGCTTTCGATGCATTTTCACGCCACGGTGTAATGACATTTGCGTAAAACCACACGGGTTGCAGTATTCCAGTCACCTTTTTGAGATCGTCTTGAAAGCTACAAAGTCGCTAACAAGGGGCGAATGACAGGCCACACAATCTCCGCCGGTGTGAAACATTTGGAAGCCATTTGTATTTTCGCTCTAACTAGCATATCTTTCAGGGACTTTCCTTTTTTAAAAGGTATGATCATGATTGGTGGATCTTTAAAGATGTAGTGAGTAGTGGTTGGTTCTGTATTATGTGCAATTATTATTATTATTTTTTTTTTTTTCATTAAAGCTTGTTTGATGTTTGCCACCGATCGATGGCTCTTATTTGTAACAAAAGGCAATTTGTCTTTGTACCTCAGTTTATTTTCTTAGCGCTAGGACCCTTTCCGTAAATTCTATTTTATCAGAGCTTTTTAAAAAAAAGTTATGTTTGAGGGTCTTTAATCCCCTCTGGTTTTCTAAAGTGAATTGCCACTTCGAACTTTCGTGATATGAGAAATTTCTGTTTTATTATTTACATCCAACTGTTTAATATATATGGAAATTTCAAAACCCTAGCTGTCTCCGGAATTCTTCCTTAAGCAATGACCGTTGCCAGGGAGTGAAACTTAATGCACTTATAAACTGGGCAATGAGCA